CGCTCCGAGCAGGGTCATCTGGCAGTCTCCGGCCACCTAAATTAGGACCCGGAGACTGCCAGATGACCCCGCTCGGAGCGCCGCCCAGCAGAGCAGTAGTGACGCGACGCTCGGCGAGGTAAGTAAGAAGAAACCTGACCAGCGTACTCACTTTCCTCAGTTCTCGAGACGCTGACTCGAGTATAAGCAGGGGGGGGGCATTTTTCAGCACAAAAAATTTGCAGAAAAACTCGACTTATACTCGAGTATATATGGTATGTGTATATATCTATATATATATATAGATATATACACACTTTTTATCTAGCCCAGTCATACATCTTCCTGAAGAAGTGGTGGTACAGTACCACGATACACGCTGTGTACCTGATCTTTTTGACACAAATAAGGGATTTACCAGAAAATATCAAAAATTCCTTCTTTGACTCCAGGTGCCTCTGCTCACCTTTCTCTGATAAAGTCCTTCTTTTGGGAAAACTCCTTCTGTTGCGCCATACGACATTGGAAAGAAAGCACATCAGGATAGCAAGCAGGCACAGATGGAGGAATGTCTGTTTCTCTATTTCTCCTGTGAAATGTGAACCCGGAAGTGCTCAGCACTGAGCACTTTTGCGTTCAGCACCAACAGTTCCTGACTTGGGGAGCCAGGTGCAGCAGTTGGTCGAAGACCCCTGATGTTTTCAGTAAGAGTATTTACAATCATAAAGTGATATCACTTCTTATCAAACCCCTGCTAATATAAGGGGGGACATAAAAAAATAGAAAAATGATAAACTATATTATGAACTAATAATTCTAATGCCATCATTTATAGTTAACTTTGAGTTAATAACCTTTGGAGGCTTTTAAAGCCTGACCTATGGGCAATTTTGGGTATCTTAGTTTGTTGCCATTTCGCGAGCACGCACAGTTTTGTTTATTGATAAATATGGTATGCATTTACTATTTACTTCTTTCATATTTTATAGAAAATTTGGAAATTGTATTGTGTTTGAGTGGCCTGAAGTTAAGTGTATTTTGTATCGGAAATTTAGGTTGTCTTTTACGGAAGGGCCCTGGGGCCATGCTAAAAAAAAATGAAACATAATTCTGGTGTTTAAAAGTCAGAATTCTGAGTTTGAACGACAGAATTCTGAGTTTCAAACTCAAAATTTAAAAAACAGAATTCTGAGATTAAAGGTCAGAATTCTGAGTTTAGAAGTCAGAATTCTGACTTTTAAACTCAGAATTCTGACTTTTAAACTCAGAGTTCTGACTTTTAAACACAGAATTATGTTCTATATTTTTTTTAGCATGGCCCCAGGGCTCTTTTGGGTCTTGGAGACCCCTGATGTCTCCATAAAGAGGACCTATCATGTAAATTGGCTATCACATAGGGGGCTTCTTAGCCCCCCCATGTAATAGCAATAAAGTTGTGTGGAAAAAAAAAAAAGTAGTACAAAAATTAAAGAATCATTAAAAAAATAAAGCATTAAAAAAATGTAAGTCCCCGCCCTCCACATACACACGCAGATATGCGTCAGGTGCACCTACGTGCGAAAAACGACGATTGCACCTATTGTGCCGCACATGTTACATATCGCCGCAAACATCGGAGTGAGAGCAATAATTTTAGGGCCATTAATCCCCGATAACACTAAACTGATGGGCAGTAAAAGCGTTTTAAGCGTCGCCTAAGGGCGTTTTTTGCGATTTTACCCGACTCATATCTGCGTGTCATTTCTGTCCCCAAAAAATGTTAACATAAATTGCAAGGCTATAGTCCGGTCATGCTGACTGGTGAAATTTTTGACTGACTGGTGAGACGCCCTAACATTTTTCAAGCCCTGTATATACACACACAGTGGGGGGAATTTATCAAAACGAGCAGACAAAAATTGGGGCAGCTGTACATTTTGTCTTTTACATTTCCTTATACATTTCCTTATAGATGATATATGTAATGAAATATAAATAGACTGAAAATGTACCTCCAGGTAGTGGCTTACACAGCTGATGAAAGAGGCCTTTTTCAAGGAAGGTGACAAACAGAAAATTGGATGGCTCATGATAATGTAGATGGGTAACAAGTCCTGTAAATTCTGTAGGATTACAGTCTTGATTCAGGTATTCCTTATGAAAGATAAATCACAGAAATGTGAATTCATGTTTATAAAACAATACTTTGATAAGTATAACTTTATATTTCAGGAAAGCATACAATTGCAATAAAAGCGATCATGAGGTTGTCATGATAAACCTCTAACGCTGAAGTAGAAAGAATAAAGCAATGTTCTAAGTATAAGCTTTAAGGAATATTGTACAGACAGTAGAGTTCCAGTGAGCTCCCATTTGGAATGGTTCAAATGATAGAGATGTGAACATTTAACACAGGCTACACTAAAACCAGATAAGATTTGAGGATACTGCTCAAACTCTACTAATTAGGATATTATAAATTTATAAAGAATTGAATGTAACATTTACCAAACATTCACTGGTGCTATATCATAAATTGCATATTATTGCATATTAAAACACATCACTACTTTATTATGCCGATAAATGTTCTTGTGTATTTTGTGGAACTCTGTTTACACTGCTAGCTGAGCTCTATTCAGCTAATGTTTCACAAAAGTCACAGTTCTCCACTCACAAAGTAGCTATATGGCATAGCAAAAGTGTTTACAGATACAGTGTTTACTTTGTGAGTGGAGAACTGTGACTTTTGTCTATATATACCTAGAGAGACAGAGGCAGTGACAGAGGAAGAGGCACATGAACAGAGAGAAAGAGAGATAAAAATCAACCATCATTTTGTCACCGTATTGCCTTGAATACGAGAATCAATGATCCTGCAAATGCTGACTTCCTTTGAAATGCTAATTGTTTGGCTTTCATGCTGAACCTCTTCCTTCACCACTGACCTACAGCAAATATTAAGATCAAAACATAATTTTACTTGCTGAAAAATTGTTTTAGGTATGTGACTTAGAAAATGCTGAAGACAGAGACAGCCAAGTAACTAACATTTCAGAAGAAGGTCACCAATGGCAGCCCCCTTTTTTTCATAACAGGCTTCCTTTAACGCACTACACAGTAGATCATTTATTAACTAAAACTAGGAAAATATAACCAGTTATAATATGGTCCAATTTTTTAGCCTGCAATGCAATGCATCCCTGCCGCACAGCTGCCCGTACATGCTACGGGCGGCTGTGCAGGGATGTAGCGGCAGCTCTCTGGAGGGGGGGCCCTCTTCTTCCTCGCTGGGCCCCCCCCCAAGTGGCCGAACGCCAGGGCCTGGTCGCAATTGCGACCGCTGCGACCCTGGTAGTTCCGCCAGTGCTGCAAAGGCAATTGTTAGAGTAACACACTTACTTTGCATTAGTTAAAGTGACACTAAACTCAGGAGTACATCTTAAAAATGCATTCAAGTACTTTAACTCATAACAAAAATGTATCTTATTTGTGTATCACTCAGCTGAAGATCCTCAAATCATCTCTGAATTCATGCTGACACTGTCCTTCCTCCTGGAGGGTGGCTACTTTTGCTCCCCATGGTCTCTGTGTGTGTTGTAAAGTAGCCACCGCTCCAAGCTCGAAGCAGCATGAATTCAGAGATGATTTGAGGATCTACAGCTGAGGGATACACAAGTAAGCTATATTTTTGTTAATAGTTAAGGTACTTGAATGCATTTTTAAGATTCAACTCCTAAATTTATTGTAATTTAAACCTCCCCGGCGGTATTCCCGAGTGTAGCTCGGGGTTACTTTTCCATACCATAAGCGGTAACCCCGAGCTACACTTGGGAAAGCCGCATAGCATTTACTTACCTTGTCTCTCGAGCCGCGCTGTGTCCTGCGGCCGATGCCGGCTTCCGGGTTCCGTCGCTTGCAAGCGTACGCGTCAAAGGGGGGCTGAACCGCCGGGATATTTAAAAAAAACAAAAACGTCAAAGACGAAAACAATTTGAAAAAAAAAAATAGACCGAAAAATGACATGAAAAAAAAATAAAAATCATACCACCAGGGAGGTTAAATAAGTGAGCCACTACCAAAATCAAAACCTGGCACACAAATTTGATCAGAAAGAGAGACAACAATTAGAGAAGATGGATTGTAAAAAATAAATATATCTAACACATACCTTGGATAGCAGGAACTGCAGTGAGAATATACAGTAAAGCTTTAACATTTGTGCTTCATTTGGATGTTTGAACGTCATAAGGGAATGCTTTAAAACTGATAACACCTAATAAAAAAAATAATACATAGTATTAGTAGTTCAACAGACTATTTAAGGGTTTGTGTATATCAGAAACCATGTGGTCAAGATAATACATCTTTTCTGAAATCATAACAATAAACCTTAACAAAAAATACAATATTTCTTCCCTTTATTTTATAATATGTATTCTACAAACTGTTTTTCCTGTTACATCATGTTTAGAAAAGGGTGAGAGAGTTAACTGGGAATCTATTTAAATATCTACCTATGCTTTCAACGGTGCATCTAAGAGATCCTCCCACAAAAGTCTCTGGTAAAGTGAACTCAAAAAGAAAAGATTCTTAATAGAGGTTAAACTGGAATTCCAGAAATAATATTTTTTTAAAGACTTAGATTGGGCCAGCATAGTTATCTGTAACATCTGAAGGAGAGCAGGGGATGCTGACATTTTAATTTGTGCCACATATCCTGTGTCCTTTGATCTTCCAGGCGGTCTCATACAGGGCACCTCCTCCTCCACTCCATCAGAGATTTTTAAAAATGCACACCTTAATATACAGGAAATTCACTGAATGATGCCACTACTTCCACAGTTCCAGCTTCCACCACACACACCCTTCCACAGATCAAACAAACCACCATATGCAGGCCACTAGATAAAACTGCATATGATCTGACCCAGAAGACAGACATAAACATCATAGAGTATTAGCAGAATCCTTTCATATGACTGGTTACAGCAACAAAACCATAAGTACAAGCATAAATGGTTCTTTGAAAACCCAAAGAAAATATATTTTACAAAGATTTAAAAAAACAGATAATCATGCTCATTTAGTAACCACATACTATCCAGCATATGGTTACTATCTGTCCGAGATTCCTAGGAAACAGGCATCCCCAGAACCATCCCCAGAGGCGTTGGCATATCCAGGGTATGGTACATGCCCTAGTCACCACTTGAAGGAGGGGGGCACTGCTCCATTCATCAGTGAACATTCCCTGGCTCATGGAGACATCTGTGACAGCAGACTTGTGCTGTCATCATTCAATTTCCCACTGGTGGTTTAAATGGGGGGGTTAATCATACCAGTGGGTTGAATGACGCCACTGGTGGTTGGTTGCTGGGACCACCTGGCGTTCTAGCATCCAGCCAATCCAACCTGGTTTGCTCAGTAAGAGAGAGAGGATGAGGATGGAACTTCCAATGCTCCACCTCCTCCATTTAATGCCCTGCCTCCTCCAGCCCTCTGCCAATCAGCTTTTGCCTGCCTGATGATTCAGGTAAGAGGGAACTCTGTGGACTCTGATGTAAGGGGGTGCTATGGGGACTAGAAGTCAACAGAAGTGATAAGAAAATCAAAGAGCTGTAACCCACCACAACATAGCATAAAATACTTCAACAACCCCCAATTCTGGCCCTCAGGCAACCACCCAACCTCAGACATAAATGAATCAGCAGGGAACTTATTACAGAGGCACAAACAAGGAAATGAAACTCTGAAACACCAAAAGTTGCAAACTGTGCAGCTGCATCAATACATTAAAAAGTGTCAGACAAACAAAAGGAAGCTTCAGTATTACAGGGCCATACAGCTTCACCTCCAGTAATGTGGTGGACATCATTCAATATAACAAGTGCAACCAGGGATGTTAAAATGGTGACACGAATTACAGAACAAGGACAAGAATTACAGAAGAAAATGAATCTACATAGACACATCTTAAAAGAACACAAGAATGACAACTGCTGCACACCTGTGGGACCTAATTTCTGAAAACCATTCTATGGAAGACATAAATGTTTTAGCTCATTATATGGATTTTAAAAAATAATCAGGAAAGGAAATCTGTTGAATTACAAATTATATTTCTGTTTGACACAAGGGATAACAGACTGAATGTGGACCTCAGATTTCCAAATCGCTATGAAATAGTTTTATGGCCATCCTTACCTCTGTGAATCTCTCTCCTCTCCCTCTCATTCCACAGCCCACTTCTTTACTTTTTAGCTGACCAGCTTACTTACCTTAATTACCCTAAAGCTGGCTACACACTGAGTGAATGGTGGCTGATTTTTTATGAACCAGATGAAATTCTTACTGGGTGTACCTGTCTGCCGCCTCTCACCCAACATCACTAGAAGGTGCCATGCGGAAAATTGTCGGCCGAACAGCACCTGCATTCAATCAGACTCTCAGGAAAGAGGAAACAGTGTGGACACTGATATAAGGAGCAGCTCTGATGTAAGGGGGGACTCTGGGGACTAGAAGTCACAAGAAGGCAGAGAAAGCAGGTCAAACCATTTACAGTGAAGAGCTGTACATAAAGAGGGAGGGCGTGCACAGTGAAAGAACTGAACATTTGATTCTCACTTTAGCAGGACATTTTTGCCCTTTCCTTATTTTTTATATTTTTTATATTGTAGAGCAGACACAAAAAATAAATAATATGCTTTAAAAGTGTTTAATTACATACAGGTGAAACTCGAATAATTAGAATATCGTGCAAAAGTAATTGCAGTAAGTGCTGCAAAAGGGGCCCAAACCAAGTACTGAGTACATATGCATGCTTGTACTTTTCAGAGGTCCGATATTGTTCTATGTACAATCCTTGTTTTATTGATTGCATGTAATAATCTACTTTTTTGAGGTTGTGGATTTGGGGTTCTTGGGGTTTTCATGAGCTGTAAGCCATAATCATCACAATTATGACAAATCACGGCTTGAACTATCTTGCTTTGCATGTAATGAGTCTATCTCATATATTAGTTTCACCTTTAAAGTTGCATTAGTGAAATAAATGAACTTTGCACGATATTCTAATTATTCGAGTTTCACCTGTACAACTGAAAAGGAGTTTAACTATTTACACATAATGAAGCCTACTTTTGCTTTAGCATCCTCTTTGTCATCTGCTTTGGCTGCCAGAAGCATGAGTCTTAGTACAAGAGAAATGCTCAGAGGAAACTGGCCTCTTAGCTCTGGAACATTGGACTTCATAAGTTTTTTCACTTTTGGTACTGGAATGTTGAAGAAATACACACTTCCCTCTAGATCCAGTCCTCGTCTTCCAGCACGACCTGCCATCTAATGAAAATATGATATCATCACATGCTGCTATAGTTTTGTTATTGTAAAATACTTCACATATCCACTATTTCACTTTAGATTTTAAGTATTCCTCTAATGAAAAACATAATGAAGCCAAACAGCTAAACAGTTCCTGCTCATGTACACATACTGTATATCTTACAGACAGGGGCGTAACTAAAAATCACAGGGCCCCATAGCATAATTTTGTATGGGGCCCCGTGATTGCTAGTTATGCCACTTGCAGAGCCCACCTGATATACCAAACAGCCCACCATAGACTCTCTATAGTGGGCTCCGCAGGGTGTCAAATGGGCTGCACACCTCTTACCTGTCAGCGCTGTCCGCCTCCGTGGTCACCGGGCCCTGCCTCCTCTTCCATCACTGGCCCCACCTGCTCTTAGGTCGCTGGCCAGTGATGTAAGCGGAGGTGGGGTTGCTCTTAGGTGGGCCCTGCCTCCTCCTTCACTGCGAACGCCGGCCTCTTCTGCCGCAGCTGCTGGCTGTCACTGACACAGCTCCGCAGCGACTGAGGGGAAACGCGCCGCGGCCGCTGCACACATCACCGACGGTGTCAGTGGCAGCCAGCACCCTTACATGCCATAGCGACCCAGACGGCCCCCGCGGCATCAGAGGGATGACCTGGCCAGGCCCCCCCTGTGCCCGGGCCCCATAGCGGCTTACAGAGCATCCAAATGTATAAAGCATTTAAATCAATATTGAGGGAGAAATGCAACTTTGTTGACTGATATTAAATGAGTAGCTGCCCCCTGGATTCTAGGGACAGAAAGTGCTGACACTTCACCACATGGATGGATTCTTAGTCGGAATGGGATGTGTGGAGTGAAATAGGGCGCCAGTCACATTTAGGATTTTTATAATGCTTTAATTGAACCAGCAACAAAACTGGGAGAGAGCGTATAAGGCTGCAGACATCTGAGGAATAGGGAACTCCAGACTCACCAAATGCTCTCCAGCTGCACAGTGTACAGGGTACTCAAACCAAAAGTGTAATGATGCTGTGATAGAGATCCCCATTTGGCAGACAGTTTGAGATTTCCCTGGGTGAGACAGCAGACATCTCTCTAAGGTCCAAGCCCATCCTTATGTCTCTGGAACTTCAAGCAGATGAAGTTCCTCCCTGACTCTTTATCCCAGGAATAATTCTGGACCCCGACTGAGTCCTCATCTGATCACCTGTAGGCTTCAGGCCTGGTTATACTTCGCTCATTTAACACACCTCCCCCAGACAGGAGGTCCAGGGGAGAAAGAGGCTCTCACATGGTCAGACCCAGATATTTATGTCCTCTCCCAGCATACACCACTGGCCATGAAACTCCTTGTGATTGACTGAAGTGACAATGATATCTATAGCATCCCACCATTGGTTGCTCTACTCTGTGGCAAGGCTATACCCAGCAGCAGGCAGATGCAATCAATAGCAGAATCCTTAGGGAAAACCAAATGAGCATAGACTATACAATTAGGCAGACTGAATACAATCCTTAGGGCAAGGTGGCTACACTCCCTATACTGGAAGGGGTCCCCAGGTTTCAATAATGAAAAAATCACTTTTTGACCTCTTTGGAATAACCATTCAACAGTAATTACAGTTCACAGGAAAACACATCTCCAGCATTCACTACTGCTAATAAACTTTACTGCTATATCCAAGTTACTCTAAATAAAAGGCAGATAAAAGATATTTCTGATAACAATGCATGTATAATACAGTTTATGGTAGACCTGCCAACTTTCTGAGATCAGAAAGAGGTACACCTTCCAGCACAATGTATTTAGGCAATATACACACCCCTTCCCCAGACCATTAAGAATATACATGCCAAAATGATTAGTTAAACCAGAATTGGTTTTCTTTCACCATGACTTTTCCTTTTATGCTGGCTTTTTAAATAGCAAACCAAATTTTTAAGAGATTAAATAAAGGTTATAGGTAAAGGTTGAAAAACACAAACCATTGATCTTTTGGAAAACAAGCCCTGAAGACATGGAAAATTCATAAATTAACAGCAATAAATAAATAAAAACTTTAAATTATTATTATTATTATTATACAGGATTTATATAGCGCCAACAGTTTGCGCAGCGCTTTACAATATAAGGAAGACATTACAGTTACAATACAGTACAAGATGGTAAGGAGGGCCCTGCCCCTGAGGGCTTACAATCTGAAAGAGGAGGGGGAAATGATACATAAGGAGGGAGCTGTGTGGGGATGAATTGTTTGAGAATGTGATGGTTGAGCGGTTAGGTTGAGGTGGGATAGGCTTCCCTGAAGAGATGAGTCTTTAGGGAACGCCTAAAGGCATTCCAGAGGATGGGAGAGACTATAGAGAAGTCCTGGAGGCAAGTATGGGAGGAGTGGACAAGGGAGCTGGAAAGCAGGAGGTCAATGGATGAGCGGAGGGGACGGTTAGGGTAATACTTTGAGCGGTTCCCTAACCCGCTGCCTTCCCTAACCCTCTGCTACGTTTACTGAATACAGTCTTGTCTGCTGCCTGCCCTTCCTGTATTCTCGGATTCTTCCTTCTGCAACATCAAGCCCACACCTTCCACTGCCCTACACTAACTTTTGCTTATGGGCCCGCAATGACGCCCCACAGCCAGAGTATATAGTTTAAATCCTACACCTAGTAGTGTCACCTACAAATCTAACTCCTCCCCTCCTCTTCCTCTTTATGTGGTGGTCCCCTAAGGATTTGTCCTTGGACCCCTTCTCTTCTCTATCTACACCTCCTCTCTTGGTCAGTTAAAAACCTCACATGGTTTCCAATACCATCTCTATGCCGATGACACTCAAATATACCTCTCGACTACGCAACACACCCCATCAGTGTCCTTGTGTGTCACTAATCTACTAACTGACATATCCGTCAGTTAAAGCTCAACCTTTAAAAAACTGAGCTCATGTTATTTCCTCCCGCCTGTGCACCATCCCCCAACTTTTCCCTTGAGATTGTTAACACAACTATCCAGCCCTCCCCCCTATGCCAAGGTCCTAGGTGTCATCCTTGACTCGGACCTCACCTTTCTTCCCCACATACAATCACTATCCAAATCCTGCCGCCTTCACCTTCGTAATATCTCCAAAATACTCCCCTTGCTCACCAATGAAACCGCAAAATTACTCATCCACTCGCTAGTTATCTCCCGTCTTGACTATTACAACTCCCTCCTCATTGGCTTACCTCTACACAGGCTATCCCCCCTTCAGTCTATCATGAATGCTGCTGCTAGACTCATTCACCTAACCAACCGCTCAGTGTCTGCAACCCCCCTCTGTTTCATTTCAAATACAAAATATTAACAACCACATCTACAACTCTCAAAGTATCTCAAAGTATCACCCTAACCGTCCCCTCCGCTCTTCACAAGACCTCCTGCTATCCAGATCGCTCATCAACTCCTCCCATGCTCGCCTCCAGGACTTCACTAGAGTCTCTCCCATCCTATGGAACTCTCTACACCAACATGTCCATCTATCTCCCACACTGACTGGCTTTAGGTGATCCCTTAAGACTCATCTCTTCAGGGAAGCCTATCCCACCTCAACCTCACCATTGAACAATCACTTTCTCAAACAATCATCCCCGCACAGCTACCTCCTCATGTATCACTTGCCCCTCCCTTTTAGATTGTAAGCCCTCACAGGCAGAGCCCTCCTTACCATCTTGTCTTCAATTGTATTGTGATTTGAATGTCTTCCTGATATTGTAAAGCGCTGCGCAAACTGTTGGCGCTATATAAATCCTGTATAATAATAATCCTGGTGGTATCCAAGTGCACTTGCCTTAGCGAAAGGTGGCTGATAATGTAAAACACATCATTACTATATACTCAGACTGGGGTGTTTGCATACAAGGCCTCACAGGTCCTGGGTAAATTGTGCAGTCAGTTTGTAATGTGTATGGTAAGCTTAACCCTTCGTGACGGGAGACTACACTGTACATCCCGCCACAAAGTGCTTAAATGACTGGCCATGCACACTGTACGCGACGAGTTATTTGAGGCTCTGTAAAGCTGGTAACCGCTGATTCTCAGCGGTTACCATTCATTAATAATTGCCTCAGTATTGAGGCATTCATTAATGAAATAGTTAAGCTTTTGTAAAAGCTTCTTTCTTTCAATAATGAATGAATAAAGCCTTACATACAAATACTGGATCGCTAAATAGTGATCCGGTATTTGACAGCTGAAGAAAGCAGAGAGGTAGCAGAGTGAGTCACCTCTCTGCTATTCGTTTTGACAGCTCAATGTCTATGAAGATGTGCGATACATTTCAGGCACAGGAATGTTACAATGTATCTCTGTGCCTGAAATGTATCACTTCTGATCGTCTGGACATGATCAGAAACCTTTAAACATGCTGTCAGGATCAGTCTCTCAGGTTATTATTAGCTGTTCCTAAGTTTGAAGCAGCCTAATAATAACCAAAAATTAAAAAGTTAATTTATCAAGCAGTCATAGCGAGTGCTTGCTATAAACTGACGGGAAAAAAGTGTAAAAATAAATAAAGTGTAAAAACAAATTAAGAAAATAAAAATTATATATACATATATTTATTATACTATAATAATTATTATAAAAATTGCTAAAAAATAATAATAATCAAAACTTGTGAAAAAAAAGTGTTTTTCTTTAAGTTTTTTTCGTCATTTTTAAATATTGTATTCGAACTGAGTGAAGTGTTGGGTACACATGTTTGATATAATTATATAGCCCTATCTGTCCTCTAAAAAACAATATACAGTATAACGTGTGGGTACATTTAGTAAGAAAGTATATTACAGCCGTGGAAGAATCACACAGCAAAAATTTTAAAAGTGTGTCAGTCATTTATGAACAGAAACTGAAAACAAGCTCAGTCATGAAGGGGTTAAAGGAGATTGGAAAGTCAGATTGTAACTTGTGTATTAAGCTTTAAACTGATTACTATCAAAAAGTGTTACAAGAGTTTTGTATAAAATTACCTGTCTATAGTTTAGTGCATCCAGGTAAACTGAATCATGCAGGAAAACCACAGATTTACATGGCATGTTGATTCCCAGTGCAAGTGAGCCAGTAGCAGTTACAACCTGGAAAAAAAATGTACACAATTAAGCTTTTCACCCAGGGTGCAAATTAAGTCATTATGACCGCCATACAGAAAAGAAAGACCAAGGCCACTTGACACAGCCTTATTGTTTATAGAATGTAACTTGCAAATTAATGTATATTATAAAAAACCTGCGAGCAAGAAAACCTTTATCAAGTGTACATAAACCCTAAATCGACCCCTGCACTCTGTGTATTATGCACTCCTGCACACCTTGCGATATGCACTCCTGAGCTCTGCATTCTTTTCATTTCGTACTCCTGAGCCCTGCACTCTCTTTGTTACAGGCTCCTGAGCCCTCCCTCTGTGTACTACACACTCCTGAGCTCTGCCCTCTGTGTGTTACAGACCCCTGAGCCCTACACTCTGCGTGTTATACACTTCTGAGCCCTGTGAAATGCATACTCCTGAACACAGCACTCCCTGTGTTATGTACTCTTGAGCTCTTTAATCTGTGTGTTACACACTCCTGAGCATTATGCATTTCAGGCCCTTGCACTGTGTGTGTTGTGCACTCCTGAGCCCTGCACTCACTGCATTACAGACTCCAGAATCCTGCACTGCGCATTACAGACTTCTGAGCCCTTGCACTCTGCGTGTGGTGCACTCCTGAGCCCTGAACTCACTGTCTTACAGATTCTTGAGCCCTGCACTCTCTCTGTGCATTTTGTACTGCCAACACCTGCATTCTGTGTATTATGCACTCCTGACCCCTGCACACCTTGCGATATGCACTCCTTAGCTCTGCATTCTTTGCATTTCATACTCCTGACCCCTGCACTCTCTTTGTTACAGACTCCTGAGCCCTGCTCTCTGTGTACTACACACTCCTGAGCTCTGCCCTCTGTGTGTTACAGACCCCTGAGCCCTACACTCTGCGTGTTATACACTTCTGAGCCCTGTGAAATGCATACTCCTGAACACAGCACTCCCTGTGTTATGTACTCTTGAGCTCTTTAATCTGTGTGTTACACACTCCTGAGCATTATGCATTTCAGGCCCTTGCACTGTGTGTGTTGTGCACTCCTGAGCCCTGCACTCACTGCATTACAGACTCCAGAATCCTGCACTCTGTGCACTGCAGACTTCTGAGCCCTACACTCTGTGTGTGATGCATTACTAAACCCTGCACTCCCGAGCCCTGCACTCACTGTCTTACAGATTCCTGAGCCCTGCACTCTCTCTGTGCATTATGTACTGCCAACACCTGCACTCTGTGTATTATGCACTCCTGACCCCTGCACTCTGGGTGGTACCCAGTCCTGATCCATGTGCTCTGTGTGTTATGCACTCCTGGCCACTGCACTCTGCATTACACACTGCTGAGCCCTGCACTCTGCCCTGCAGCTATGCACTTTTGAGTCCTGTATTCTGTATATTACTCACTCCTCAACGCAGCACTCTCTGTGTTATGTACTCCTAAACACTTGAGTCCTATACACACTCCTAAACCATTTGTTACGCACTCTTGTCCCCTGCACTCTCTATGTCACTATTCTGAGTCCTGCATTCTGTGTGTTATGCAGTCGGGCCCCTGTACTCTGTGCATTACAGATGACTGAAACCGGCACTCTATGCATCATGCACTGTTGAGCCCTGCACTATGTGCATGGCACATTCCTGAGCCCTGCACTCTTTATGTTATGCACCTCTGAGCCCTGCACTCTGTTAGATACACACTTTTGAGCCTTGCATTCTGTGTGATACACTCCTGAGCTCTGCACTCTGTGTTTTACTAATTCCTGAGCTCTGCACAAACATCAAATGCTCCCGTAAGCGAATGCAAGGTCATTTGAATCCTTGGCAATTGCAAGACTGTGAAAATAATCACTATTGTGATCATTTGTGCCCTTGTCAATCCTGCTTAATATTATCCTATATTTACGCTAACAACTGTGTGTGTGTGTGTTTGTATATACTTTGCTGTAGTAGTTCCCATGCCCTTCTATATTCAGGGAACCAAGAAACTCATCTAAAAGTTTCTTGAATCTATCAATGCTATCAGGGGATACTACTGACTGCGGAAGGGCATTACACATTTTTACTTCTCTCACAGTAAAAAAAAAACTCTTGGGAAGTCTAAGGCTAAACTGTGTCTCCTCTAACCTCTTGCTGTGTCCTCCTGTCATCAATAGAGTTCTCGGTGTAAACATTTTATTCCGGATATTGTAGTCCCCATTAATGGTTTTGAAGATTGCAATTAGGTCCCCTCTTTTCTAAGCGCCTCTTTTCTAAGGAGAACCATTTTAATTTCTGGAGGTGGTCTTCATAGCTCAGGCCTTCCATCCCCTTTGTTCATTTGGTAGCCCTTCTCTGAACTCTCTCAACTTCAAGGACGTCTTTCCTAAGGGTTGGTGACCAAAACTGAACCGCATATTCAGGGTGAGACCGAACCAGTGATTTATAAAGTGGTAGTAATATGTTTTTATCCCTTTCCAAAATGCTTCTTTTAATGCAGGATAATATCCTTTTTGCTTTGCAAGCTGCTGCTTGCCATTGCATACTACTGTTGAGTCTGTGACCCCCCGGTTTTTCTCCATGTCCGACTTCCCCAGTTAAGCACCCCCAAGTAGTAGTTTGCACACATGTGCATAACCTTACATTTTTTAATAAAATAAATACAAATAATACTCCAATATAAAAAAGTACACCTTGTGGTTAATCCATCCAATGCAGAAATGAGAAAAGTGGAACACAAGTGGAGCTGTTTCCAGTTATTTTTATTTTATGGGAAAACTATAGGTTTGATGAGTCGCTACGATTTTCTCTAGTTTGAATGAACCAGCCCTGTGTTGCTACACACCTTGACAGAGCAAATGCTGAGGAATTACTATACATATTGTGTCATTTTCCAAAGGCAGTACCTGTAGAAGCAACTAGAATATCTGCTTTGAGGTGTAATAGGTTTTTGTTAGGGATTACTGTACAAATTCATAAATCATGCCATATATAATCCACTTGAAAAGATATAAAAAATAATATGTAAATGCACAGTTAAATAATTACACATTTTTCTGTTTCCTTGTCGTTCTATTAAAAGGGCATTGTTAAAATATAATATTTTTTTTTCCAGTAAAATACTTACTTTCATGTATCCCATTCTGAACAGCATTTCCACAAAAATTCTTCCTTTAGCATCAACTGTTGCATGGTGGTATCCAATGCCTCTCTTAGAGAGCGTTATAAGTGTCTTAAATCTATCATGACTTGAGAATTTCATTCTTCTATACAATAATCCCAAGGTCTACAAAACATGATATTTACATTATTTAGCAACAGATTTAAGCTTAAAATAACACTGACACAGCAATCTGAATTGTAATCTTTTGGATGACTTATGTTGTCTTACCTTGTTATCCACACTCTTTTCATCAGCATAGGTACAGTCTGGGGGTATTTCTTGGAGCTTCTTAATTTTCTGCATTAAACTATTGTAATTAGCCTGTTTGATGATCTGAGACTCCTGATTCCTTGTGATTCTGTGAAAAAAGATCAGACAAACCTGAATTGTAATTATTGTTTTGTTTGGATGAAGTACCTGTTGTAAACCTCATTTTATGGCATCCTGAAACATGGTTATGAAAGTATTTTTTATATTTTCAAAATATTTTACAAATCCCAAGGTACATATTTATAAACCGGTGAATGTGAGATTCACAAAACACTAATTATGAATCAATTACTTTAATTAAAAACAAATGCACCAAGAAGATTTACCTGCAGTGAATGTGTGGTGAATGTCTAATTTGCTGCTATATAAATATGATTCTAAAACTTTTGGTACCTTTTTATGTATGTCCTTTCATTTTGTAACCTGTCCTAGAAAACATCTACTTGCTGTGGGTCTTCTTTGACCAACTTTAACCATATTAGTATTAAGTTTTAAGGTACTTACTACTAAAGAACAGCTTAAAGTAACAAGTAAAAAATGGTCAACGAACTGTTAATGTACTGTAATATTACTACAGCGCCTCAGAAAATCTACTTCAGTCTGATTTTTTTTTTAATAATCCAATGCACCGTACATCTGCAGGATAAACCAGTGTGGTGCTAATACTGCAGCTTCTTGTCCTGTGATTCTAGGCTGTGCAACTTCCCTTTTCTTCTCTTTGAAAGTGCTTCAAGTGAAAAGGGCTTAAAATACCTTATCTGCACATTCACCTAAGCCCTGGGTAGCCAAAACCAAAGGCTTGATTTTCTGTATTTGTTGCTGTACAATTGTAAGAAAGTTAATACAAAAGTTTATATTCAGTTGTTTGCATATGTAAAACAAAACCTGCATTTGGACTCAACACCTCATTTCTCATCTATACAGTATAATTAATGGAAACCACCATATACTGTATATACCACATCACACAACTAAAAATACCACATTGCCATAGGATATGGGTGAGGCCTAGGGGTGACTGAGGCCTAGGGATGACCAATTTCACCAGCCGGCTTCATTAGAGGAATGGCTTCACGTGCTTACTCAATTGTCTCCTCCTTAAAGTAACACTAAACTCAGGAGTTAAAGCTTAAAAATGCCTTCAAGTACCTTATCTATTAACAAAATGTATCTTATTTGTGTATCACTCAGGTGTAGATCCTCAAATCATCTCTCAATTTGTGCTGATACTTCCCTTCCTTCTGGAGGGTGCCTACTTTTGTTCCCCATGGTCCATGTGTTTGTTGTAAAGTAGCCACCGCTCCAAACTCCCTCCCATGATGGACTACAATCTCATTGAAATTAGCTTGGAGTCAGCTTGGAGGGGTGAATACTGTACAACACACAGAGGAAAAGACACACACAGAAAGAGAAATAAAATCAACCAGCACTTGTCAGAAACGTACAGTATTGTCTTGAATACTAGAATCAATGATGCTGGAATTGCTGACTTCCTTTGAAATGCTAGTTGTTTGGTTGTCATGCTAAAACCTCTACCTTTACCACTGACCTAAAGCAAATATTTAGATCAGAACTTTTAATTTTACTTGCTGCAAGATTATTTTAAATATGTTACTTAGAAAATGCTGAAGGCAGAGACAGCCAAACAACTAACATTTCAGAAGAAGGTCAACAATGGCAGCCCTCTATTTCTTCATAACAGGCTTCCTTTAACTCCCTACACAGTAGATCATTTATTAACTAAAACTAGGAAAATATCAATGCTGTTGCTCTTATAACAACCAGTTATTATATGGTTTTATTTTCTAACCTCCACAAGTAATTGTTAACCAGTTGAAATCCGCGGTGTTAAACCCCCTTCCAATTCCGCTAGGGGGCGCGCGCGAGCAGAAAAAAAATGCCGTCTGGCGACGGCAACCCGCCAATGCTGCAGTGCCGTCCCTCCGTCCGTTTTTTTTACAACGGGCGGATGGCAAGTGGTTAAAGTGCCACACTTTCTTTGCATTAGGTAAAGTCAAACTAAACTCAGGAGTTAAATCTTAAGGCTCCTTTCACATGGGCTGATGAGGAAGGGATCTGTGCACAGATCCTCTCCTCCTCCGTATAAAAACTGCATTTACCGGAACCCATGCCAGCCTATGGGAATCTGGTGTAAACAAACATGTGTCCGTTTACATCATATTACCCCCGATCATGCACGATCCATTCCGTTGAAATGCAACACTGTTCCGTTTGTTTCTCCGGACCCGGCCAGAAGCAGGGGGTAACCGGGTGTGAACGGACACTTGTCTGTTTACACACGGCTGCCCATAGACTTGCATTGGGCATCCGATCGGATAAACCTGAAAAACTGACAGGCCAACCCGATCGGACCACCTGTGTGAAAGGGGCCTAACAATGCATTCAAGGACAATAACGATTAACAAAAATGTAACAATCCAATCTTAAAATTATATACAAATATGTTGCACGGGTTAAACATAACACAATTGATAATTATATAAAGACAAACTCAAGTTGTGGCTACCCCACAATGTGGTACACCCACAAACAAATTATATACATGTATGTGGGCACAAGTAACATCCTGCATCCACATAATACATCTAAAAATAACCTTAAATGAAAACTCTCATCTGTCTGTAAATGTTGCCATGCATGCTCACTGCTATGCCTTGGTGATTTAATAAAGTGTCCCTGAGAGAACTAAGATCTCTCTCTCTCTCCTCCGGAAAGTCAGGAAATCACCAGCACTCAGTAGTAAAGATAAATATGTCCCTTTTATTGGACAGAAAGCGTCAGACATCCAAATAAACTGACGTTTCGGGGCCACGCAGGCTCCCTTCCTCAAGGCAGAAAGATGTGACAGTCACGTCACATCTTTCTGCCTTGAGGAAGGGACCCTGCGCGGGCACGGCACATCTTTCTGCCTTGAGGAAGGGACCCTGCGCGGCCCCGAAACATCGGTTTATTGTGATGTCTGTGACGCTTTCTGTCTAATAAAAGGGACATATTTATCTTTACTACTGAGTGTTGGTGATTTCCTGAATTTCCTGTGTTTGCACGGCGCCATCCGTGGTAATTCATCACTGCGAGCACCACTTTTTTCTTATCTGGCCGGGACTGCTGTGAGGAGTGCGGAGGGTCTCTCCATCGACTTACATCTCTCTCTCCTCCTTCACTTTCCTGGACCTTGTTTTTTGACATGCCCTATGTGTGACTCAGTGAACATTTCCTAATATTTGTGTTTATGTCTGACTATTTATAACCAATCCATCACCTTGTGTTGTATTATTCCCTTCATCTAGTGCCGTGTTTTTCTCTTCCTGCTCCCTTATTTTTAAATCTTCCCTTAATTTTCTTAATATAAGAAAAGGGTCTTGTTGCTTCCCCAAGTGATTCTGATACAAAAATTACCAAGGTTGAAATTAAATAATGACTATATTAAACAAAAATACCACTTGCAATATGCAGCCTCAGACAAGAAGAGGTGTGGTACTCTGAGACAATCTGGGATCTATTGTTTTGTTCAGTGCTCTCAGTTAGAGATGAGCCAAACATAGCTGGCTTTAGATCACAGGACATTCACTGGACTGTGCTGAAGATTGAATATAAATCTAATCCCCATTGAAGTCAATAGGGGTCTCTCTCTCTCTCCTCCGGAAAGTCAGGAAATCACCAGCACTCAGTAGTAAAGATAAATATGTCCCTTTTATTGGACAGAAAGCGTCAGACATCCAAATAAACTGACGTTTCGGGGCCACGCAGGCTCCCTTCCTCAAGGCAGAAAGATGTGACAGTCACGTCACATCTTTCTGCCTTGAGGAAGGGACCCTGCGCGGTCACGTCACATCTTTCTGCCTTGAGGAAGGGACCCTGCGCGGCCCCGAAACATCGGTTTATTGTGATGTCTGTGACGCTTTCTGTCTAATAAAAGGGACATATTTATCTTTACTACTGAGTGTTGGTGATTTCCTGAATTTCCTGTGTTTGCACGGCGCCATCCGTGGTAATTCATCACTGCGAGCACCACTTTTTTCTTATCTGGCCGGGACTGCTGTGAGGAGTGCGGAGGGTCTCTCCATCGACTTACATCTCTCTCTCCTCCTTCACTTTCCTGGACCTTGTTTTTTGACATGCCCTATGTGTGACTCAGTGAACATTTCCTAATATTTGTGTTTATGTCTGACTATTTATAACCAATCCATCACCTTGTGTTGTATTATTCCCTTCATCTAGTGCCGTGTTTTTCTCTTCCTGCTCCCTTATTTTTAAATCTTCCCTTAATTTTCTTAATATAAGAAAAGGGTCTTGTTGCTTCCCCAAGTGATTCTGATACAAAAATTACCAAGGTTGAAATTAAATAATGACTATATTAAACAAAAATACCACTTGCAATATGCAGCCTCAGACAAGAAGAGGTGTGGTACTCTGAGACAATCTGGGATCTATTGTTTTGTTCAGTGCTCTCAGTTAGAGATGAGCCAAACATAGCTGGCTTTAGATCACAGGACATTCACTGGACTGTGCTGAAGATTGAATATAAATCTAATCCCCATTGAAGTCAATAGGGGTTGATTCTATAGAATCGATTCTGGCCATTTTCAAGGTTCATGAACAAGGCAAGGGATCCTCAAATAAATCATATGGGGAGCTGGCCACTGATGGGAGGACATGTACCAGTGGAAAAAGAAATGTAAAAAAATACCAGTCAGAGGAGAAAAGGTCTTTTCTAGACATGAAAGCCGGCAATGTACGTTTTGATCCATTCGGCCAAAAAGTCAATTGGTTTCATTATTTGGATTTGGACCTTACCGAATTTTCGTGTTAATTTCGGTTGAGTTAAACGATATTTATGAAAGAACATTTGTTGCAGAAAATTGACATTAATGTTTATTAATTTTTAATTTTTGACAGTCTACAGCACGTGTCAAACTCAAGTCCCAGGGGCCAAATCCGGCCCACCAGACTTCTACTTTCAGATCTAGGTATTAAGTTATTACTAAAACCAGTGATAATCGAATGCAGAGGCAATCATGATAAAGATTAGATACATTTATATAGTCTTACAGATACCCTTGAGGGCAACCATAATGTTGATGCGGCCCACGATTAAATTTCGTTTTACACCCCTGGTCTACAGGAACATGAAGCAATTATTTTTTCAAATTTTTCAAACAGCGTGGGGTCCCCCTCCCAAATTCATACCAGACCCTTCAGGTCTGGTAGGAATTTTAGGGGCAGATTCCACCTGGAAATAATACATTGTGGTGTCCTTTTTTGAGAATTAAGACATAATAATTCTACAGATTTAAAGCACAGTCTATATTCCTTTTTGTTAGGATGCAGATGGAGAGAGCAGACAGATTTAATTTGGAAATAAAAAAAAGTATCTTTTCGCTGAGACTGAAAACAATAAAAATGTACAGATTTGCTGCACGGACTGTACTCTTTTTTTGCTAGAATGCAAGTTCAGAAGGTGAAAACAGGCAGGTGTCATCTGCAAATACTACACTGAAGGAAAAAATAAATTGTACAGATTTACAGTACAGAATTTAAGCCTTTTTAATAGGATTACATTTTAGAGGTAGAAAGTAGGAAAACTGCATTTGGAAATAAAAATGTGCGTTTTATGCAGAAAAATTGTACAGATTTGCTGCACAGACTGTACTCTTTTTTTGCTAGGTTGCAAGTTCAGAAGGTGAAAACAGGCAGGTGTCATCTGCAAATACTACACTGAAAGAAGAAATAAATTGTACAGAATTTAAGCCTTTTTAAAAGGATTACATTTTAGAGGTAGAAAGTAGGCACACTGCATTTGGAAATAAAAATATGTGCTTTTATACAGAAACATTTTACATAGTTGCTGCATAGTATGTACCCATTTTTTTGCTAGGATGCAATGCCCACGGAGAGAGCAAGCATATTTCATTTGAAATCCAAAAATTATAGGGTATTTTTTTCTGAGAAGGTAGACAGAAATTTTTTTTACAGATTTCCTGAACAATATGTAATCCTTTTTTCAGGATTCCAAGCCTTTTTGATAAGCCACAATTTCAAAGGGAGCTACCAGGCATTTTATGAACATAAATCCCTGTTAGGCCACGTAATTTAAAAGAGAATATATCCACAAATATTCTTGATTGAGACAGTGGACTGAAATAAGCCAAAAATACTTGGGGCTAGTTCACACCATATGCAGTTGTGATGCAGTCAGTTCAGTTTGACTGCTGCAGCCAAAATACATCACAATGCTTTCCTATGGGCTTTCTCGTGCTGTATTCACACCATTGCAGTCTGTTCAGATGCAGTCAGAAAAAGTACTGCTTGTCCTATTTTAGCTGCATCTAACTGCACCGGAACACATCAAAACGCCTGCAAATGCACCAGCACGCATACAAACGCATACAAAAAAAACAGAATTGATTGCGACATCATCCAGGGACATCCAGTGGAAAAAGCGCATCTGAACGCATTAAAAACGCATCACAAACACGTCAAAATGGATCACAATGTAACTGCACAGACGCACGCAGTTGTGATGCAGTTTCTGTTGTGGACTAACCCTAAGACAAACAGCATGATTTAGCCTGCATAGACCCCCCAAAAGATTCACACTGAGAAACAGCATGCAGGAACAGTGAGGGGTATATTTATAAACAATTCACAGAGCCATTTGCCCTGCAAATCTCTGCGAACATTCGTTATGTGGCAAGACAATAACAAATGTTCTTAGTATGTTTTCTTTTCAGGTTGAATGTAATCTAATACTACATTATGGCCACCAGATGAAGCTGAGCAGCATAGGAAATACTGTAAATAAATTTTACAGTTCATTATTTTACTGGGCAAAGAAAACAGATATGAGTCTGGCAGTAGAAGTGAATTGCTAATAATTGGTTAAAACAACCACCAATTACCAATTTATTTTGTTTCAGTAAAGTGCACAGCAGAACTTCTTTTCCCTGAAGCAAAAAGCCCATGCTCCAAAGCAATAGGAACAACCTAGCCCCTGAGTGACTGGCAATCCAGTAGTGACCCTGCTTTTGGGTTAAGGGGTTGAAAGTCCCAAATAATTAAGTAGTATATTTCCTAATTAGATGCTATTCTAAGGAAGTATGGTTTCGCCTTATTTGGGATGCCACTGCACCAGCTGTGAACTTTTTTGAACCACTTTACAAGATGACTTACATTCCACTACACCCAATATTCTCTGCATTATATATGCCATGTTAATGTCCACCTTAGGCTCCTTTTTGTCTTAAAGGAGAACTATGACATGAGTGATTTCCACTCACCTCATAGTTCTAAGCCGACCTGTGACAATGAGACTGTCACAGGTTGGGTCAGTAGATCGGGAGGTGAGAGAACACATACCGGGTTCCCTCACCTCTTGATCCAGTCACGGCTCTCTGCCATGACAGGGGGAGGGGCTGGATTCCCCTCTACTCGCTCCGATCTGCCAGCACTGACTGGTGGAACGGACGGGGGAGGGGGCGGGTACAGCTGGCTCTGCCTCTAGATAGACAGAGCCAGCTGTCACTCACGCAGCTGGGCGGATCCCGTCATCTAAGTCGGGATCCGCTCCAGGTGCGGCGTCTCAGTATACCGCGAGCTGTAGCTCGCGGTATACTGAGCTTAGGGTAACGGGAGGACGCTAGTTTGTGTCCTCCCGTTACCCCAAGGAGAACTATGGGGAAAAACACTGACCCCATAGTTCTCCTTTAAAGACTCTGGATTTCATGTTGATTTTGCTATGTAAACAGAAAGTTGAAGTGTGAATATTTTTCGTTCTGTTCCCTCAGTATTTTTCTTTATTTTCATTTAATTAGGCTTATTTGTTTACTCAGGTTCAAGTATTTAAAAATAAATATCATAAACATCTACTGAAAGCTAGGTGACTTTTATGTCACACCAATGTCAAAAAAACATTTTACCTGTAAACATGAAATGGTCTATATAGCAATGTTTTCACACAAGACTCAACTTTCACCCAAGATTCATACATTTTTACATAGGATTCAATTAGAAAAATCAGTGAATTGTTTGTGAAAACATTGATAAATAGACGCCTAAGTAATAATGTTGCATAACGAACAGAGAATGAATTTGCAAGCTACTTTGGCCAGGCCCGACACTACCGCAAGGCAAGTCGAGCGGCCGCCTGAGGGCGCTGAAGGGTGAGGGCGGAAAAAACAGGGCATTTTGACAAGTACTTGTCAATATGCCTCGATTCATAGCGCAAATGCTTGCGCTATGTTTTGTTTTTTTTCTTCACTTACCTTCTGTCAGAGACTTACCCTGCAGCAGTCCGGCCGTGCATCACAACTCCACCCCCAACAGCGTCGTCTCCTGACGTCAGAGGGCAGAAGCCGACGGCCGAACGTTGCGCCGCCCCTTTCTCGCCACTCTGTACGATAAGACGGCGAGAGTTTCAATTGCTCGGCATTCTAGCAATGCGGAACGTTGAGCAATTGCTCACTCCGTACTGCACCGCTCTCCATCCTGAACCCAGGGTATTCCGTGGCCAGCATCTACACAGAAGGACTCATCCTGTGACCGGCTCCCTTCCAGAACCTGCAGCTGATCTCAGCATTCCCTGTCCAGCAATACAAACTACCAACCGCAAGTAACCCATTATAGATATGGTTTGACTACATAGAGACTTTCAGCTGCCTTGAATAGTTTGCATTGCTTTGAGCTACTCCCTATTCTTTGGAACCTGCTGTCTGCCTATCATCTAAACTGGCTACTCATATGTATTGGCTATAGTACAGCCTGCTGGTAGAAGCGGTCCTAGTCCAGCATGTGTCCTAGATAACCTACAGTGGGGGGTTGTAAGTGCAGGACTACTACTCGCCTCAAACCCCAGGGAATAATCCCTGCTGTTTTCCTTCTATTATTTCAGACACTCAGTTGTTGATTATATCTTTTGAACACTATTTTGCGTTTCTCCGTACTGTTACAGGCGGAGGGGTGCGCAAAAATGCACCTTCGCCTGTGTAGGCAAAAATCCTTGCACCGGCCCTGCCCTGTGCTTAGAGTTTTCATTCTGTAAACAAAAATAGTCTTACAGATCTGTGATGTATATAAGATAAGGGTCATGCTACTCAAAATATACATTTTAGTTTTTGATAGATTCCAGTGAGCTAAATAACTCACTGAATATATTTACTTTTTTAAGGATTCTGGCAGCAAGGTCTCCCTGCCATAGCTCCTACTGCTACGTCCTCTGCAATAAAAAGTGAAATGCCATTCCACCAGGAAAAATAAAACCCCTTTGGGGGCAGGAAACACAAGCAGAAATTGTTAATATGGAGTTTATGGATAATTCAGCTAAACTATATCTGCCAAAAACTCAGTTTTCAGTTGATACTAAGTATCTGTCCACAATATGAGTTTTTGGGGGGATTACCTTTTAGCACTATTAAATTGAATAATTACATGCACCCCATATGTACTTTAGATGTTATATACTCTTATCAATATAACAATATCATGTATATATGCTTATTTACATTCAAAGATTTACTTACCCATGTGGAGGTTTTGAATCGAACATGTCAATGCCTGACCTGGGTTTAAAGAAAAAAATATATGTTATATTTTCTCCAATTAAGCATTTGTATAAAATAGTCTTAAAATATAGAGAAATATGGCAATATATAGAGTATATAAATGTATTTATTGGGGTTGATTAACTACAGGCAAATAGGCTGTTCGCTTTGCAAGGGAATTTGCACTTTTTAAGGGAATTTTCCTTTAGTTTTGTGAATGTGGTGAAACTTCACTTTGCATACTCAGCAAAATAAAAACAACTGTATTTTTGCTTGCACATGACTGGGTGATAGAAGTCATCAGAGTTTTGTTTCATTCACTAAAATAAGGAAAAATGTCCCCCGCAAAGTGCAGATTCTCTTGCCTTTGGTAAATTAACACCATTGCCTCAAAAGAGACAGTAACAATATGTCTAACCATATTGTAACATTATCAGTGTTGTGTTACCCTCCTAACTCCCATACTGCTCTATACTCCCCTTACTGTGATGGGTCAGTGACCAACATGGGAAGGGTTCAGCACAGAATGATTTATCATTTGCTTAAAGTGTATATCAGAGCAAAATACAGTACATCTCTGCCATAAATGCACATTTCCCCATGTTGTATCCCTATAAAGAGCATACCTGTTGATCTGCCGGAAATACACTCAGCTTCTAAGACCTGTTGTGGGTTGAGAGTACACAGTATTTGTGTGGGCCGAGTGTTGTCAACTCTACCCAGTTTTTTTTTTTTAATGCTAAACTACTCTGCGGAGCAGCCGCCCCGACGGAGGGTGCCGCCCTAGGCAAACGCCTAGTTTGCCTCGCGGTAAATACGCCCCTGAGTATAACAAAACACTTTCAGTGGTATATTCAACAGACCAAAAGGGAGCAAATAAGACATGTTCATCATTGAGTGTACATACATCCCAGATAGCAAGCAATTGAGCTGCAAGTTTGAAAATGACTTGCTAAACTATTGCTAGACTTGCCAAGCTTCACAATTTGGTTGCAGAATTACAGCAAGTCTGCATTGCAAGTCTCCAGATCAATGTGCTTTGCAAAAGTGCTGTACACTTGCAGAGCTCTTGCTAAGACCTGCAGGACTCTTGCTGTAGACTTGCCAAGCAAATTTGCTACAAATTCAAAAAGTGTCAACTAGAACTTGTGCTGCATGTGTTCTGAAAGTCTACCAGTCCCGTTTAATGTTTTATCAGAAAGATTTAATACTGAGATCATGATTGTAAGTTTTTATGACCACTTTTTAGTAAAGTTTGCTTGAGGATTTCATGCTATGCGATATTCTATTTCTGCTATAGGAGGAGAGGAGATAGCTGTGAGCTGTGATCTGTATTGAGGATGTTTCTGAGCGTTATCTGACCATTATATAACATATGGTCCATCGAGTCTGGTGAGTGGAAGGAGTGTACAAAAGAGCATGCAGTTTGTAATTGGATCTGGATTTTTTTACACAAGAAGCACTATGAGGGGAATTTATCAAAACTGGAGCAGACAAAATCTGGAGCAACTGTGCACGGCAACCAATCAGCTTGTCTTTTTCATTTTCATATCTTAACTGAACAAACTGAACAGAGAAGCTGATTGGTTGCCCTGGGCAACTGCTCCAGATTTTGTCTGCTCCAGTTTTGATAAATCCCCCTCTATGTGTTTTCTTTGCGTTATGTGAAGCATATGTGGATTGTTTACACATGCACTATTCGGACACACTTCATAGTGGAGGCTTTTTGAATGAATTGGACATTTTTTTTCCTTTTTGCTTGAATTCATTTATTATTTCAAGATCTGGGAAATATTTTTGTTATGCACTTTATTTGATGTGCTTATCTTTGCTATATCTTATATAAGCGCAGTGTGGTTTGGGATATTTATAATTTATGCTGATCTAATGCCCTATTACACTTGGTGCTTATTTGGTGTTTTATCTTAGTGGAGATGAGAGGGTTTCGGAGCGCAGATTTATTGAATAAAAATGACAGTACATTTTTTTACAAAAAAATTTGATTTTAGCATGTGTGTGCAAAAATTAAAAGATTGCTCCGTTACGAAGGTGATTAAAGAACTCACCCCAAAATAGAAACACTGCTGTAATGCTTACATAACACTTACTCTAAGCTTTTTTCTAGTTTGGCTGCTTTATCTTGTAGTTTCGAAATTTCTTTCTCATCCTGAGGAGTCTGTTTCTTTTTCTGCAGATTTCTTAAATGACAATACAACCGTTTTCCCAGTCCTTCCACCAAAGGTAAATGAAATCTAAGAGGAAATTGCATTTTAGTAATAGTACAATGCATCGACAATTTAGAAAAGTATTTTTAAATGTTATTGGCATGAGACATTATATGGAATTATAATAATGCTTTAATTATGTAATACAAATATAGTAGATGTACCTAAATGTATTTTTTATATAATAAAGTACAGATTAGGAGTACAAAAATAAACAAAGATCTTGGTGAATTTTTTGCACTTAATGAATCTCCAGACATATTGCCTGCCACCTTATGGGAAACACACAAAGCTGTAATGAGAGGGAAATTGGTTGAACTAGGATCCAGGAAGAAAAAAGAGAATACGAAGAATATAGAGGACCTGTTTAAACAGATTGGGGAATTAGAAATACTACATAAGAAATCACTTTTTTCAGATCACTTAGAACAATTACTTAATAAGAGGGAAGAATTAAAAAACCTATTAAAAATATTAAAGCTTTACAGAAGTTCCACTGGCTGGAGGGTATACAATATAAATGGGGTAACAAACCAGGAAAAGTATTATCCAGATCATTAAGCCACAGGAAGATGCAGACTTATATCCCTAAAATTAAGACAACAGACTCCATGGCCCTCACCCCTAGAGACATCACCGGGGAATTTAAAGAATGTTATTCAACACTGTATAATGTCTCTTTTTATAATAAAACTGACGCAGAAAACATCAGACCATAGACAGGAGGTAGTAAGAGAGTATCTGGATAGGGATAAACTACCATCACTACCAGTAGAATCTTTGGGAAGATTGGAAAAGGAGATAGAAGTCGGGGAATTGGAGTGTAGTCTTTCATAAATGGCTAAAGGGAAAGCACCAGGCCCTGATGGTTTAACCGTGGTATACTATGTAACTTTTAAAGATGCATTACTTCCCCGGTTAGCGAATTATGTGAACTCATTAACGGCAGATGGTAAGCTCAGACCAGAAACTACATTAGCACATATAACGGTAATTCCCAAACCAGATAAAGACCCTACGAGTTGCGGGAGTTATAGGCCCATATCATTATTAAATATGGATATTAAGCTATTTGCAAAAGTTCTGGCAAGGAGACACTCACCACTGACATCTCAATTTATCTCTTCTGACCAAACCGGATTCATACCCGGCAGAGAAGCTAGAGAAAACTCATTAAGAACTTTAGCAGTAATGACTTACGTGAAACAACAATCCCAGCCAACACTATTACTATCAACAGATGCAGGGAAAGCGTTTGATAGGGTGGCTTGGGATTTTTTATTACTCACACTACAATATATGGGCATGGGAAGTAAAATGATGAGCTGGATCTCGGCACTATATAAGGAACCGAGGGCGCTAGTAAGAGTTAATGGTTACCCTCAGTGAGGGTTGCTCATTGAGTAACGGCACACGCCAAAGTTGCCCACTCTCTCCCCTATTATTCGCAATATCATTGGAACCTTTTTTAGCAAACATAAGAGAAAACAATGACATCCATGGCGTAGTTATAGGAAATAATAAACATAAGTATTCAGCTTATGCTGATGACATATTGTTCTATATACAACAGCCTAGAATATCTATTCCAAATCTAATAGCTGCATTTTGGGAATATGGGGGACTATCTAATTTTAAGATTGATCTTGATAAATCAAAGATATTATATATTAGCCTGCCGCCTAGGGAGGTGATGTTGCTGCGCTCAAGCTTCCCATTTAGGTGGCAGACAAAGAAATTGAAATATCTGGGGATTAATCTAACCCCCCATCAGCAAGAACTTTTTAATTATAACTATATCAACCTTTTAAATGATATTAGGAAGGACTTGCAACAATGGACCGCATTATATCATTCATGGATCAGTAGAATAAATATAGTTAAATTTAGACCAAAATTTTGGTAAATGGATAGAGGAAGGTACGCTACGATTACATCATGTGATGGACCGAGAGATGGTAAAGCCATTATCGATATTGTGTTGATCCCCATCACCATCTATGATGGATAAGTGGCGCTACCTCCAACTAACCCATTTTTTGCAACTATTACCTAAACCAATTAGATCAATGGATGAGTTAAACCCAATTCAAGTGATACTATCATCATGCCCAAAGGGAAGTATATCACTGTTGGCGGACTTGCTGTCACAAACGGATCCTATACCGATCCCAGGGTTTATGTTGCAATGGGAAGAAGACCTGGGAATCCCCTTATCAGAACAAGGGAAACTAAGAGTTCTGCAACGGGTGTGTAGAACCTCAATATCATCCTATATAGAGGAGATGAATTATAAACTCTTGTCGAGATGGTACCTTACACCTGTAAGATTACACTCTATTCACTCTTAATAACTCACAATTATGTTGGAGAGTTTGTGGTATGAGGGCAACTATGGCACATATATGGTGGCAATGTCCTGTTATTAATAATTATTGGGAAAAAGTGGGTAGGATCATCTCCTCTATACAGGGAACACCTATGAGTCTGGATCCCTGGGTAATGCTATTCCATAATAGTGAAGGGTCATGGCCAAGATATAAAAAGTCTATTATACCTCATTTGTTGAACTCAGCAAAATGCTTGATACCTATATATTGGAAACGTATAGAACCCCGACCCAATAAAGGAATGGTTTATAAAAGTTTCAATATTAAAAGTAGTCACATTGTGATCACTATTACCCAATGACTCCCCAATTACAATATCCTCGATTAACTCTGCATTATTAGTCAAAATAAGTATTCGATGTTCTGTAAAATATGGCAAGGATGGTTCATGTATAGGAACTCACCTATGAGTGATGTCCTCAGTGATCAGTGATGTCCTCATATAATTAAGGTATGAAAATGTCGGCTCCCCTGTATACCATGGGATGGTCCCAGATCTCAATTAATGTTAAAAAGAAAGGGTGGGACTAAGGAGCCAGTCAGTTGTGCTTATGTGTGTCAGAGATTTCATCATTCTGCTGCCTATATATATTTATGATCAATTTTCAAGGTTACCTGTAATTATTTAGTTAAATATGTGTTAAGGATATAATTAGGCACAATTAACGGTATTTTAAAATAAACATAATAGACACACACTATCACATTTTGATTAATAAAATTAATTGATTCACTTTTTTCACTTTGATAAAATATTTGAGGTGCACAGAATATTTGGCAGATAGAGTATTGATTTATGGAAAGCACAAAATTATTGTCTGAGTTGAAGGGTATAAACAGTAAAGAAATGGAAACACTAATGAAATTAAAAATAACTGGTAGTCAATAATAAAGCTAAATATAATATGACACATCACGTTAAAGGTTAAAATCGGGAAGGCTGGCCCTGTGCAGACATAGATTGGGTTATGGATAATGGGTATAATACGGAGGTTAGAAGGAAATAAGGCAATGTCTGTTCACCTTTAGAAAACGTCAAGTGACGAAACGCGTCAAGGGGCAGATCTTTCTGACACGAACTGTTTAGCAGTGTGTCTGTTCTTAGTTGTTGGTCTGGCCGGCCGGAAAACTTTTTTAAACTTCTATGTGAACTGTTCATCCTAAATAAAAACTTTGTTTAATTATACTGCACTATGGAGGCTGTTTCTCTCTCTTAAATCCCTTTTGAATCATCACCGAGACGGGGAGATAAATATAACAGCAACTGGCGAGCGGAAGGAGCCGGGGTTTAAACTGGACTCGGTGCAGCGCGACGGGCGAGGTTACCTGGGGTTATCTGCCACATTGCCGGGGAATCCTGCACATATCAGTGAGCTAAGGGACCGGAATTACAGCTATTGAGAGGAGCTTGCTGTCCATACACCATCTGGTGAGTAACCACCGTTTGGGGGGCTTCAGATCGGGTGAGGAGGAATTGTGGAACTCTCATCAGAACGCTTAATTGATTTTTATATAACTTATCTATTTTTTTCGTATATATATATTTTTTGGTGCAGTTTGTGTTAGTTCACATCACGGACTGAAATTTCTGGAAGGACTTGTGTTTTTTCTTTTTTCATTTTTCGTTTTTTTCATTTTTTTACATCCTTTTCATCTTTGTATTTGCAATACAATTTTGATTGTTACATTTGCTTCACTGTTTTCACTGCTAATTTGCACTTCTTCACATATTTATGAAATAATTTTATTGAATGGTTATTTAATTTTTTATAGTTCACTTCGATATACTTAGTTTTAATATTTTTATAGTGTGATATCCTGTTACATTTATTCACTTATCCTGTTGAGGAATGTAGCTTTCCTTTTTGATTGTTTGCACATCAGCACTTTTTCAGTCCTTTATGGTACTTTATATTCATTATTGGTAGGTTTTTTTGAAGACTTACACACAGGGTGTCACTCATGTTTTGATCCATATATATTCACATATTTTCATATTTATCTCAAACCTTTAGCACTGTGACAACACTTTACAATATCTTGTTTTGTTTTGTTCCTGGAGCTCCTCCCACTGGACCAGCGCTGACTCCTTGCTGCTCTCTCCAGCACAGTGAGTGAGGGCAAGGGGGGGAACGGGACACTATTATGCTGCAGAGTTTAATTGTAAATGTATTCTCTGCACTGTATTAGATGTATTAGCAGTATATACTCTATATGTACTACATATAGAGTACACACTGCTCATACTGTGCAGACAATACATTTACAATTATACTCTGCTAACATGAATGGATTAAATGATCTATATGTAGCCCTGTACTAGGGATCATTTAATCCATTCATGTTAGCAGAGGATAATTGTAAATGTATTGTTGCAGTGCACTCTATATGTACAAGTACTATATAGGACATATAGCATGCACTGCAACAATAAATTTACAATTATCCTCTGCTAATATGAATGGGTTAAATGATCCATAATACATGATATGTAGCCCTGTACTACGGATCATTTAACCCATTCATGTTAGCAGTGCAGAATTGTATATCTATATGCACTGTACATATACAGCACAAATGTCCCGTACATTGCAGCATTAGATTTACAATGATCCCCTGCTAACATGAATGGGTTAAATGATCCATAGTACAACTACATGTTATGTACTATTATGTACTATAAATCATGATTTAACCTATGCATGTTAGCAGGGGAGAATTGTAATTCTATTACTGCAGTGTGCAGGACATATGTACTGCGGATCATGATTTAACCCATTCATGTTAGCAGGGCCGAATTGTGAGCGCCTCCCACAAGCTGAGCACCGAGACGCGATGCAGTGATCCTGCCCAGCGCCGACTACGAGAGGCACCGCATGAGGCAACAGGGATCGGAGTGAATCTGTGAGTGAGGGAAGCTGGGACGGGGCTGGCTGTAAATCTATTGCTATAGTGTACTGGACGTGTGTAATGTATATGTAGTACATATATACAGCACATACCTCCACTACACTCCAGCAATAGAGTTACAATTCTCCGCTGCTAACATGAATAGGTTAAATCATGATCCATAGTACAGAACATGTAGTTGTACTGTGGATCATTTAAAGTCACCTGTCCCTTTAAGAAAAAGTATCAGTAATTAGTATCGGCAAGTACATGAGGGGAAGTACTTGTACTTGGGCCTGAAAAAGTGGCATCGGGACATCCATACTAATTATATTCCAAAACTACCAGTTATTCACCCACAAACAATATTAAGATCTCTTAACCATAAACCCCTGTAAAACATTGCTGCAAATTATATGAAGTAAGGAAGAGGGAAAATGAAAATAAATGGATTGTGAGATACAGTATACATATACACATAACTGTATTTCCATGAAGGAAAATATAGGGTTTGGCACAATATAAAATCAGCTCCCAGGCTTGTTCACACCAGAACATTTTGTTACCGGACCAAAAAAGCATCCCAATGTATTTCTGGGCTCTGTTCACACCAGCGCAGTCCGTTCCGGACAAGACAAAAAAAAAATACTGCTTGTCTTTTTTTCTCTGATCTGGAATGCATCAAGAACGCATACAATGCATGCAAATGCACTGGAACGCAACTGAAAGCCCATTTTAAGCTTACAAAAAACCCTGTTCCTGGATGCAGCAAAATCGCAGTAAAACCACAGTAATATCGCTGCAAAAATGCAGCAAAACGCAATGCACCAGATCGGGTCCAGAAAAATGTGTGAACCTGGTCTAAAGGCTTGTTCACACCATCTGCGGATCAGAGCGTTTTTTCGTCCACACCTGAAATGCATCCCAATGTATTCCTATGGTATTTCTGTGCTCTGTTCACACCAGTGCAGTCAGTTCCGGTGTAGGGTGAACAAATGCTGCATCTAGTGTGGTGTGTCTAGAACGCACCACAACGCATGCAAACGCACTGGACCACACCTGAAAGCCCATTGTAAGCTAAAAGAAAAAAATGCACTGGAACGCACCAGAACGCATAAATGCACTGCAATGCATATGCAGAAACACATGCAGATCTGGTCCAGACATGGTGTGAACAAGCCCTCAGATATACTGTATATATATTACACAGAAATCAACACTAAAAGCATAAACATATACAAATAAGTTACTGTATAAAACAACAACACTCTCAATCACTAACTGTTACTTTGTTCTACATGGCTCTAGTGATCCCTAGCAAATCTCGATGGTCAGAGTTGACATTTTAGATTTCTTCATGGGAAATATTATGTAGCACCCTGTAAAGCTGGAGCGCTTAGTAAATTTAGTATTGTCAGATTGTATTTAGTCTGATGCTGATCTATAGTGTATGCTCATTTGGTTTCCCCTAAGCAATCAGTCATTGTTTGCATCTGGCTGCTGCTGGGTTTATCCTTGCCACAGTGGAGAGCAACCAATAAGAGATTGCTATGAGTATGTATGTCTCTCTAGCCAATCACTAGGAGGTTGATGGCCAGTAGTGCATGCTGGCAGAGGATATAAATACTTGAAGTGGACCATGTGAGTTCTCTCTTCCTCCCCCGGGCCCTGCCTGGGGGGAAACTGCTACTGACTGTTTGATATGGCTAGGTCTGTCTGGGGGCTCAGTGGTTACTACTGAAACCAAGGATGAAGAGGACTGGTGACTTCATATCCAAGTACTGCTTTGCCAGGTGCTCTACACACAGATTGCCCAATCTGGCTTAAAGGTCCTAGTCTGTGAATGGCAGCAGTTGCTGTCATTCACAGACTAGGAGTCTACATCAGCCTGGATGATCCTGACCCTAATCCCAGAACATCTACAATAAAATTCATCAGTATCATATGTACAGTCTTGACCTCGCTTTTATCGGTCGCCACAGAGGGTGATAAGTGCTATTGGGGCAGCTGGCCACTAAAAAATCCTTTTTGCCTGTTTATCATTTTGTTATCTATGCCGCTAATTTCTGTCATATTTAGCAATGAAGATAAGCTAGAGAAAACTTTTCTGTGTAAAAAAAAGAAAATTTTAAACGTCTCTTTTTTAGGAGAAATTTGGAGAGGATTTTTACCACTTTAAAGAAAAACTAAAATATTATTGGTTCAAAATGTATTAAATATTTACACTTTTCAAATTATTCTTTCTATTATTTTTTCATTACTTGTCATGAGGAAGATGGATGTGATATGCCTCCGTGTTTGTAGCTCTACTGGTCTGATTAGACCTGGTATGGCTTGTGGTACCCTTGGTTAAGACAACAGTGTCTATATTTTAGTGTTGGGTAGTAATGAGGGTTTGTTTAGCTTTAATGTCACTTTAAAGTGGACCTTTATCCATATCTTTAGCTACTTCAGTACCGACCACTGTAAAAAAAAAGTCATGTCCTGAAGCAGTTATACCAAGAACACGGCTGCAGCAGCCGAATCATTTTAAACAGCTATCAATGGCTGTTTAGATACAAGTGATCTGTCCCCATGCAGACCTGGGACTAGCACAGTGGATCTCCCCTGACAGATCGGAGAGAGATAAGCAAGCTTCTAGCCGCTGATCTCTCCTACAATCATTGGACCAGGAAGTGATGTGTACTACATCACTTCCGCTGTCACTGTTTACATTTTTCTCTGCTTCATCAGCTTCTTTGGGGTCCCTGGGTGGCATTAGGGGTCTGTCACATCATATTTCCAATGACATAATGGGCTTGTTAGCCCTCCTATGTGATACCAATAAAGTTAAGTGTAAAAAAAAGTAGTCACATAAAAAAAAAGTAAAAATGCCAAACAAATTCCAAAAACGAAAATTGCGCCACACAGGTTATCGTCGCAAATGTCAGAGTGAGATAAATAATTCTAGGGCCAGTAATCACTGTTAACACTAAACTGATGAGCAGTAAAAGCTTTAAAATTGTGGGTATTGCAGTTGTTTGCGGTTTCATGGGTGAACAAAATTTTAAGGCTTGACATGTTTGGTATCTATTTACCTGGCATGACCCCCATCTTTAATATTTTGCCAACAATTGGGTATTATATTCTGTGTCTGTGTACTAAATATAATTTTAATGTATTTAATCCTAAAAATGCTGGTTTGATAAACATTTGCGCAAATACCGTGCGACATAAAAAAAACTGCAACAAGCAATTCTTTATTCTACAGGACCTCTGCTTTTATGGTGAGATTTTCCAGCAATGCTCTGCTGATGACAAGGCAATCCGAGTGTGCATTGCTTTGGCAAACTGAAGTCATTTTGCCCTTTCAAAGCAGGAAGTGTAAGTATTTCCAAATTACAGCATTTTACACCTGGCATGTCTATGTTACTATTAATCATCATACATAGAGGATGCATTGGTAGAATTTGATTTATGAATGTAAAGGTCCAATAGGTGTGAGAGGTTGTCCATTCCATTGCTGGTGAGTAAAAAAGCCTGCTCTGTATTTTATAGTATAGATGCTGTGGTAATTGTTTTCCTGATTAAAGCATGGAGCTCGAAATGAAACACATTGAAATTAAGTTTTCTTTGATGTTTAGCCCCATTATCTGCCTGCATCATATTTGTCTAATAGAAGTTATACCCAGGGACCATCTGCATATGACTGTTATTAACAAGCTACACTAATTAAACCTGCTCGCATGAGTGAGAGGTAAAGGCAAATGTTTTGGATATACCTCTCTTTTGGATCACAGGATTACATTTACTAATGTACTCCTGGGACCCAAAGTCAGCATATATCAGGCTAATATCCATGCTGGTTTTCTAATTGACAGTTGGCTCTGCCTCTTTGAATACAGTTGAGAGCCAGGGCCAGCTGTGCCAACCCCTGCCAGCACTGAAAGGGGGGAGTGGGAGAATCCCTATAAGGGTCAGTGACGGTCTGGGAGCAGAAGCCTAATGCTGACTGTTCAACCCTCACAATATACGTCAGCTCTTGGTGTCAGACTCCATTCACGCATGCAAATGCACTAAACACAAAAAAACAATGCATTCTAATGTGCATTGTTCACACTAGGGTGGCGTCCACGTGGTACAAAAATGCATGTCCTGCAAAAAATCCAAATGCGATTTTCTGGGCAGATTCCACGCAAAATCCATGCCTATTTTACCATTTGCACGTTTTCGTGCCACGCGGTTTACCGGGCGGAGAACGCTACCGCTATGTGTGAATGGAGCCTTAGAGCTGGCATGGTACAGCTACAGTGTCCCATGCCAGCAATAAGCATTGGGGAGAGTAAAACATAAATTCCATATTACGATCCTATTAGCTGAATTACACATTCGTGCATAAATGCCACCTTACATATTTAAATCGTGTGGTTTCTTCATATTGAGATGACTACGCTTAGAAGGACTTTCCTATCTACTCTCTTCTACAGGATTATTAAGTGCCTTATATTTTGTGTGGATGCGTCACAGGATGCAACATACTGTGCAAAGTTGCAGTGGGTGCTTCTCAATGCCTCCAGCCACCTTCAATGCCCTCCCGCTCCCTCAGCAATGTCCTCCTGGTCCCTGCAGTGTCCACAACCTCCTCCAAAGCCCCAAGCTAGCTGCAATACTCCATAGCCATCAGAGCTCTTCACAGTCCTGTGCAGAGTCCCCCACCTTATTCTGTTGACCTGCAGCTCACTCCATAGCACCCTTCCAGTGCCACCAAGCCTCCTAAATGATTCCCAGCACTGCTCCTTAGGCCCTTTCGTTGCCCCTCCAGCCTACCTCAGTCCTATAGCTTATGGTTGCCATTCGTCCCCGTTTCCTGGGGACAGGCTCCATTTTGAGAGGTCTGTTCCTGGGAAATAAGCATCCCCAGCTGTATCTACAGTCGGAGTAAATGCAGTTCCACTGCCTTTTGTTCTTGGCTGCTCCACTGGGGAACATCACTGTTGGAACTTCTTGCACAGCCTCACAGAGAACACAAGCACACAGTCTGATATGCATGCTGCTCATGGCTTGACTAAAACAGGAGAGTATCTACCATAGATATATAACAGAACTTATAAACACTGCCATCTAGTGACCGAAATTGTATACTGCAGTAGTTATTGCTATAAACACAGTAATATGTATTCTAACAATCCCAAAGAATGTTAGGAAGTAGAGCCACTGTCAACCCCCACTCCACTTTGGGCTCCAGTAACATGGAGTAGGGGGATGAGGCTTTGTACTCAGCGCTTGGTGGTGGTGCCAGAGTTACCTGTCACATGGTATGTCTGATGGAAATTGGGACTCAGTGCAGGGTCTTTGTTCACTGTGGAGGCCCTGCATGTCCTGGCTGGCCAATCATCACCCACCACCAACTGCTGACAACGAGCACCTGAGCTGAAGAGTGAGGTGCAGGGGCCACACTAACATTATGTGACACACTTGCATGTACTGACACCGTATGAAACGTTTTGACCTCTACACTTTGTGTAACTTACTACTCTGACCTCTGCTACTTTGAGCTCTGCATTACATAATACTCTGAGCTCTGCATTACTTACTATTCTGTGCTTTGCGTTACTTACTTCTCTGACCTCTGGTTAGGTACTACTCTGACCTCTGAACTGTGTGTTACTTAGTACTCTGAGATCTGCATTACTTACTACTCTGACCTCTGAGCTCTGCGTTACCTACCACTCTTACCTCTGAGCTCTATGTTACCTACTGTTAGAGTTGGGCTCTATGTTCGAGTCGAACAACAGTTCGAGTTGAACAACAGTTCGAGTCAAAAATCGGTAGTTTGTGTGCTTTGTTTGTGTCACTGGTGTTCCTTCTTCTGCGTCACCAGTGTTCCCGTTTTTTTTTCTATTTATTTTGTTTTTTCTTTTAAAAAATGTTTTTTGATTTTTACTTTTTTTTCAGCAGCAGGTTCTTTTGCTCTGTCATTGGTGTTCCCCCTTCTGCGTCGCAGGTGTTGCCGTTTTGTTTCTTTTTTTTTAAATAATAAGCCATTGTACAACAGTTTATAGTGCACCAAGCACATTCAATAGAGTATTGCACCCAAGCACCAATTTCCCATCCCACATTCTCTAATAAAATATTATAATAAGCCCTGCATCATGTCTGAAAGGCCAAGGAGAGAGGTGTGTGACAGGTGCATAAAGTTTAAATTTCTTACGGCAGGGCCCATTCCTGGGCCCATCAAGAGTAACTGTGAAGGGTTACAGTGTGGAGGCACCAACACCAAAGTCCCATTTTTTCCACACCTGTGTGACAGGTATTTATAATTTAAATTTTTAGAGCAGGGTCCAATCCTGCTCTCATCAAGAATAACTCTGAAGGGTTTCGGTGTAAAGGCACCACTAACACTAAAGGCCTAATTTTAAAGCACCTGTTGTTACTTTCATCCAACTGAAAAAGAGGCACCAGAATCTATCCATAAAATCTCTAACCTTGTTCCGAGTGTCCTAAAATGTGGCCTCTTCATACAGGCTGCCTCCCCAAGCAGTTATTTACAAGATTAAGGGAAAACCAATTACCTGCAATTTAAATGTAATTTTTTTCTTTATAAATGTAATTTTTTGCTGCAGCTGGTTCTATACATTGTACCGATTTGCCATTTTACAGGCAGTTTAAAGTTTACCAACAGTCCCTCTTGCAGCAATTGCAAATTAAAATCGCTGATTTGGAAGATAGATTCAAGTGGAATAACGTTAAATTCAAGGGTATCCCAGAATCCGTAACCGTCTCTGAACTTTTGCATTATCTTAATCAAATGCTTAAAGCGGTACTTTTGATGCACACTGCCTCTGAGTTACTTATTGAGAGAGCCCACAGGCTCCACAAGCCAAAACATCTCCATGATTCTGTCCCAAGGGACGTTATAGCTAGGCTTCACTTCTACCATGTTAAGGATAAGCTTATGCTCCTCACTGAACAATAGCAAGAGCTTCCTACTACATATTTGCATGTCTCAACTTTACCGACATCTCTGCAGCCACTGCAAAGAAAAGGAAAGACTTTGTCGTTATCACCAAAGCCTTTACGAGATAACAAGATTCTGTACAAATGGGGATTTTCCACTAAATTGCTGATCTCCTACCAACATGCAATTGTCCCTATTCTGACGCCAGCCGGGTGGCATTAAACAGCTCTAAGGCTGGGTTCACACTTGGGCGTCATAATATGCGCGTTTTTACCACGATTTGCGGTCAACGAAACGCGCAACAAACGCGTGTTCACGAGGGCTATTCGGCTGTATCCTATGGATACGCGCGGAAATACGCCCCAAAGAAGCTCCTGTACTTCTTTGGGCGTAGGGCGTTTTTCAGCGCGTTCCTACGCGCTGAAATACGCCCAGGTGGGAACCATGCCCATAGGAAATAATGGGATTTCACTTGCTCTGCGTTTTGCAGCACGTCGATCAGCACTGTAAAACGCTCAGGTGTGAACCAGGACTTAATTTGGGGAATCTCCATCTCACTACCCCCTGTTCAGGCCAAATGTACAATGCCAGCAAAAATGCCAAAGGACTGGTCTGTACGCTGATTCACTTTCAGTTTCATCTACTCTCTATTTCTGGAGTCATGCATTTCTACACTTGTGCCATTAGATGGTGCCATGTTACAATTTTCAGGAAATTACATCCTGCTGTTCACAATGAATTATTCTCGATAGTTCCATTATCTTTTGTGTATACCTACACACCACAGTTACTTGTGTGCTAAGCACACACAGTTTTGTTATTCTATTATATTACAATGTTGTTACCATGTATTTGGTTTATTCATGTAACTTGTTTATTGCTGTGTGATTTTATATTATCCTCTTCTGTCATTGATTGCCGATATTGTTTTCCTGACATGTTCATTTACAGTGACTCTAGCTGTTTCCATACTTCTGCTCTATTTTATTTCTCCTCTAGCTCTCCTCCTGATCTATTTTCATCCCTCAGTGACACCTCTCAGCATTCCCCCTGCTCATCAAGTCCCTGAAAATAAGTGCCCTCAATGTGAAGGGGCTTAATCATCCATGTAAGCGATCCATGCTTTGGAAAAAGGTCAATTCCTTGAAATACAATATACTTTGTGCTTGAGAAACAAATTTTCAAAGAGACAAACTGCCTGCTTGCAAGTTTAAAGGCTTACTCCATTATTTTTTTGCCAATTCAGGCAGGAAGTGCAAAGGAATTATGGTGGCCGTTAAAAACTGTGTGGCCTTTCAGAAGGACGACCTCTTTATTGAATCTAACGGTAGATATATAATTTTGGTAGCCACCCTAAATAACACATTCGTGACTCTAACACACATCATAGGAAAACATTTTCTTCCCTGATGGCCAACCTGACCCCCATACGTAAAGCCCATCTTTTTATCTGTGGAGATTTTAACACCGTTGTAGAACCTGATTTTGATTCATCTAACCCAAAACAACGCCCTGATCGTTTCTTGTCCACATTTCTATATACTATATCTGGAGACATCTGTCTCCACAAAATGGAAAAAGACTATAACTTTTTTTTCAAGTACCTAAAATTCATATTTCAGACTGGATTTATTCCTGACTGACAAATTCACTCTACAGCAAGTCTCCAAGGTAGATATTGGACAGATAACGTGGTCGGATCACGCCCCTATCTCACTTACTTTACTCCCGAACTTTGTTCACCGTCCAACATGGAGACTAAATGCTGGCGTATTGCCTAATCCTACTCACAGAGAATATCTTCAGTCTGAATTGCTGTCCTTCTTTCAAACTAATTCTACCTGTCACTAGCTCTATCATATTGTGGACCAGCCTCCGATGAAAAAATCCCATCCATGATATGGTGGGAACATGAATTACAATTCATTTTATTCTATCAAAGTTTGAGACTACGTTAGAATGTGTGACAGATGACGTGGTCACACATTTGAACGTAATCCCGCCCAGTTTTTCAGCGGTGGAATGTGACCGCCATGCATTCCAACGCTTTCTTAGCTGTTCCAGAGCACATCGGCATCGCAAAGCACATGTGCAGGAGAACCGATCTGCCCTGGAACAGCTGATCGGTCCTGAAATGTCACTTCTATCCGACGGTGGTATGTAAGATTGCAGTCGGAGAGAAGTGACATTTGAAGACCGATCAGCTGTTCCAGGGCAGATCGGTTCTCCTGCACATACGATTTGCAATGCCGATCTGCCCTGGAAAAGCTGAGAAAGCGTTGGAATGCATCACCTATTGGCGGTCACACATTCTACCGTTAAAAAAACTGGGCGGGATTCACATTCTAATTCACATTCTCATTCTAGTCACACATTCTAATGTAGTCACAAACTTTGATAGAACACCGCCATCAGGGGGGTATGGCCGGTACACATGTGAGGGGTCTGGGCAGCCTTGGGGGCCTCTCACATGGGTATCAGCTGTACAAGGGTCGGCATGGCAGAGGTGACAGGGGAGGAGGTGGAGGAGGCCAGGCCCCAGCAGCAGGTAAGAAGAGTTGGGAGGAGGTACAGGGAAAGGGACCCCGACGACCAGCCCACCTGGGACCCTGCAGAGCCAACCAAAGAGAGTCTCAGGTGGGCTATGCAGGATCTATGGTGTGCTCTGCAGGGTCTCAAGTAAGTCCAGAGTCCAGCACGCTACTGCAATATTAGAGACCGCTGGG